AGTTTCTCTAGGCAATGACTTTCAAACTGTTTTGACTATAGAACACAGCCACATGGAATCCGATACAGCTTCTTGCTCTGTCCTAGGTTAGGCTCAGGGATACTGTTTTCAGTATTGGGTTAACTTGTTATATATTGGGATCCCTTCCTTTGAAATCAAGTCACATTTTGATTTACTGTCCTTCCAGGGAGCATGATTTCTATTAAAATATGTATGTATAAAAGTATTATCTCATACCTTGTTCACCACAGACATGCCCAGAACCTGAAATATCAAGGGCAAAAGTAGACATTAATGTAGCAGTTAGAGACTTTCCTCACACCAAGATCCACAAACCTGAAGGAGCACCTTGAAGCAAGACCTCAGTTCCTGCCAACAGGTGGAGCCTCTTCTCATCCCCTCCCATTCTTAAAAAAGGTATACAGAACTGGGGTACAGGCCAGAGGTGCAGGGGCAGTGAGAGGATTCATCAGAGGCAGAGTGGGGAGCAGAACAGGCCAACTGACTAGGTATACTGCTAAGGGGAGCAGCGGGCAGGTCAGGAGAGGTCTTCTATGCTATGTGGGTCACCTCCGGGGTGGGGATCGAACTCATGCTGAAGTGGCTTTAGCTTCTTAGTGCTGTGCTTTAACCCACTGTGCAGAAGGCCCCCCTCCCATTTTTAAAAGTCCCATTGTTTAAAGTGAAACTTTAACTTGGGGAGAAGCTTTCCCCGAGCTGGTGAGTCCTAACTAAGCCACAGAAGGCAGCATATAAAGATCTGTCAAACCTTTGGGTTTTCAGTCTCCACAGTAAGTTTAAAGAGGCTCTATCAAACTTTGGCAAGGGAAAAGAGAGAAGTAGTTCTAGGACAATGAAAAGTCATAAAAGCAAAGTTTACAGGACAGCTGACTGGGAGCTGAGCTTAAGGACAGTTGTGCTGAAAATGCAAATTTGCTTCAGTGAAGTTGGTGGGGGGGTACTTTTAGCATATTCTGAATTCTGCCATAGTATGTGAGGCTAAAAGCCAAGTGCATCAGTTGAACTGAGCTATACAGAAATATCCAAAATACATGCGCACACACACACAAACACACGCACACCGCAACTGCTAGCTGCCTCAGTTTACCCTGTATTATGAGCTGCTCCATCCAGCTCTGTCATGATGCTTCTTTACTACTACTATTTCATAACTCAGATTTCACAACTGATTTTGGAGATTTTTCAAAGGCAAGTATCATATACTTTTGGTGGTATTTATGTATTTCTTAACCAGTTTTTAAATTTTGCTTTTTAAAATTCAGTTGCTATTTTTTTAATTACATGGATTTTTTTAATGCTGTGATAAAATCCCCATAATCCCTGTGATTTTTCTTATACTATCTTGTGTCTGATGCCTTATTGCAGAACTGAAAGCACTTTGAAAGTGTACAGTTATCTTTACCTAATACATCTTTATCTCCCTGCCTCTTATTTTTGTATCATAATGCTTGCTAGACTAAAAATTAATGGAATATAAAATTTTTTTCTCTCTCATTAGTTATCACATTTTGAGGACATCAGAATCACCTACTTTCTTGCTAAAGACTTTTATTGAGGTAAGATTGGCTTACAACATTGTATATGATTTAGGGGAACAATTTCATACCTCTTCACATATGTGTCACCATCTCACTGACACCACAAAGCACCCACAGTTTTTTACACTTTAAACTGGGCTCTTCAGCCCCTTAGTTCCCACCCTCGGCCTCCCTTCTCCGCTAGTAGTTTCAGCAAACTCACCCCTTGAGGAATATGGTAAAAATACAGATTTGGTGATCTGTCCCTGAAGACTGATTCACTGGGGATTTTTACTTTATATATGTGGTGTGTGTGTGTATCTATCTATAAAGTATTTATATATAAAGTATTATGTAAAGTATATATTATAAAGTGTTCTATCTAAAGTATATATAAAAAGTATTTATATATATAGTATATATTATAAAGTATTTTGTGTATATATAATATCATTCTCCATTTTGTATATTTTTTCATTTCTGTTGTAATCCTCGGGGACTTCCCACCACTATTTCACCATGTGCCATCACCATAGTCCTGTGCGTTCTTCCCACCCTGGGGTTTCTATTTTTAATAGGCTTTCCAGATAATTCTCTTGCACCTGAGGTCTTAGGATCACTACTCTATATCCTTCCTCTAGCACATACTGATACCTGTGATCACGAGCTCTCTATGATTCCATTTTTATCATGTACACACATGATAAATGTCAAGAAAACAAGTCCACTGGACAGGTGGGTTGCAGAGAGCACAGTGTGGATGATAAAGGGTCATAAAGCACAAACCCGAGCATCAGGGTGCTGACAATTTAATGGCAGAAGCACTGAAGCAATGAAGCTGCCCAAACTGGCTGTGGCCAAGAACCATTTATAAACCTTAAAAAAAAAACACTGATGTCAGACTCTACTGATGCAACCTCCCTGGAAAATGACTAAAAGGTGATATTGTAAACTTCATTGCTAGCTACTCCTGAGGTGGCTAACTTGGTATAAGTCAGAAAAATAGAAAGTGCTTTACTACAAATGGAAAGAGTGCTTCTTTCAGTGAGGGATGGAGAGAAGCAGCAAGAATAATTGTGTGAATTCCAGCTCAGCTTGGCAGCTCCAGGGAAAGAACATTCTTGGCATGTGTGAGTTGCATCAAGGACAGCTGGTTGGGCTGGTATGTGGAAGGGAAAAATATCAATCGGAGCATGGAGCAAGTTAAACAGATAGAACAGGCTATTTAATTTAAAAATACATACAAGGCGGGGCCCTCCCTGGTGGTGCAGCAGATTAAAGCACAGCACTAAAAAGTTTAAGCCACTTCTGCATGAGTTCGATCCCTGCCTGCCCCGGAGGTGATCCACATGGTGTGGCAGACCTCTCCTGTCTCGCCCGCTGCTCCCCTCAGCAGTGTACTTCCTTGATCTGCCTGTTCTACTCCCCTCTCTGTCTCTGGTGAATCCTCTCACCCTCCGCATCTCTGGCTTATACCCCAGCTCTATATGAATAAATAAATAAATCTTTAAAAAAGAAAAAAAAATACATACAAGGCATCTATCATTTTTAAGCCATTGTAGGTAGTTTTTTGACATAACCATATAAAAGGTTAAATAACTACATGAGCTAGACCTCAAAGACTATCACAGGGATCTAATAACCAGCTATCCTAAGATGGCATAGGAATAATTGTTTGAAACTCAAGTGAGGGAGTTTTGGGGGGTATACTTGATCTAGAAAGACATCATAGGTATGTGAGCGATCTAAGGGGAAGAGCGATCCAAGGCCTCAAGGAAAGAGACAAACTACCTGACTCTTCCATAATAATTTCTTCTATTCCCCTATGTTCATATTTCTATACACAACAGCTGCTATCTTTCCTTTGATCTGTATGTTTGAGGAATGAAAATTACTAAAAACTGAACACCTTCAAGGTTTGAGAACCCCAGGCTGGAAGTCACAGCAGCCCTCACTCCCTTGAGGATTATGGTAAAAATACAGATTTGGTGATCTGTCCCTGGATATTGATTCATTGGGGATTTATATTTTTAATAGATTTTCCAGGTAATTCTGTTGTGCTTGAGGTCTGAGGATCACTGCTTTACATCCCTCGCTAGCACTTACTGATATCTGTGATCATGAGCTGTGTGGGCTATTACCTGAGAGCACTGGCCATAAAGAAACAGGACTTGGGACACGATGTCTTGGTCCAGCCTGGAGAGGAGCTGACTCTTGGGAGCATGCAGGGCCACTGCACCATAGATCATCATGACGTCAGTCTTGGTCAGGCTCTTTTTCCCAGAAAAAATACCCTAAGCCCACAAAGAACATGAAAAATATGACCAAAGTTTAGAAGAACATAGTCTCACATTTTTTTTTTTCCTAACATGAAGGTCCACAATAGGGGTTCAGAAATGTGACTGGGTGATTAAAGTTAGCCACACACTGTATTTTACCCATCAAATTTAAACACCCAGGATAGTATTTTAGACCTATCAGCCCTCAATAGAGGAATCTATGAGAAGGTTTGTGTGAATTTTCACTTAACAAGTCCCTCTCCTTAAGGGAAAGCAGAATGTATATAGTGCAATCTGCCCGCACAGCCTTGTGGGTAGTAAAGGGATAAACCTGGACCTGCACCTGGAGCTCCAGACCCAGGTCATGTCCACACTAGGGACAGGCTTGCTATCTAGATCTCTAGACAGGAGTAAGTACAGTCAAGAGAAAGGATTTTGGTTGAAGGATTAGTGTCTTGCCCTTGAAACAACCAAAGATCTCGGCAGAGCAGATTCTTCTTCCTACCTTACATCGGTTCATGAAAAACTTTTCCCGGTCTTGGAATGTTTTAAGAACTTTTAAAACGGTATCCAAGTGGTTCTCAGCACAGCATCCTAAGATAGATGTTATTCCCTAAATCAAAAAAGGTAGGAGACCTTGAGTTTAACTAGTCAATGATGCTACAAATATTTATTGAGCACTTATTCCATGCTAATCCTCTTCTAGGTGCCAGGATACAGAATTGGACAGAATGCACCAAACTTCTCTTTGCAGAGTATGCAACCAGGGAAGTGCCAGTCAATGAGTACAAATTCCACAAATATGTATATTTTCTGTTTTGTAGATGATGATGAGTATGGTGGATTTAAGAAAAGCAAACAAAGAAACAATAGGCAACTGCAAGTTGGGGGGGGGGGAGTTTTTAACTTAAATGGAGAGACCAGAGAAGGCCTTATGAGTAGGGGGGAGTTGAACAGAACACTGAAGTGAGGGATGAACCACTGGACTATCTGGGAAAAAGAGTTCTAAACAGTGATAACGTTTCAGTACCCCTAAGTTTTATACGGTACTCTCCAGTACTCCAAGAGGGCCAAGTGAACAGTCTAGGGGGAGACAGGTCCAGTCAGATGTTGGGGGTGGTAAGGTCAGATAGGGCTTTAAACCAGCATTCAAGATTTTGGATTTTTTAAATTTTTTATTGGTGGGAAGCAAATAGATTTTTTTTTTAATTAATGACATGCTACTTTAAACTTATGCTTGCTTTTTCACAATATAGGCATTTTCCCCATTAGGTGTTGTTACCATATTTTCCCCACCACCAAAGCACCCCATATTGTAAGCTAATATATAAAATAAACTTACCTTGCTTAATATGCAACAGAATTAAAAGGCAGAGCCTTTTAATATTATATACTAATACATAAAATAAACTCACCTTGTTTCTTAATATGCAACAGAAGTAAAAGGCAACTAAGATAGGAAAATGGTGCCATCAATAATGCTAAGAGCAATAAGAAGTAACTGAATAACTGATACGGAAGAAAAGAGTAGCCATATAAAAGCAGTTCCAAAAATCTTGTAGGTCCAGTGAGTGTTGGCCATGTAATATGTTGGCCATGTAATATCCCTAAATATTTCAGAATTTCTGAGGTGCATATACAATACAACACACTCTGATAATTCATTTTGATAAGAAATGGTCTTTGTTATCCTGGGAGTTTTTAATTTTAAGTACATCCATATTTATGCATGTTCTTCAGTGAAGTCAATAGTCAGGAATAAAAACAAGCATGGAAACTTCACTTGGGTTATTCTGAAAGTCATGCACCTAAATAATTCTGGACAAGTAAGACATTACGACAGGCATGTCAGAGGTGTTCTGGATGGAATTAGTTATCATTGTCATCAGAGGAACTTGGGAGAGAGGTTCCCACCTGTCGCTGATCCCCCAGTTGGCTGGGTGCCACCAGAAATTCTTTAATCTGTGAGCTTACAAAATTTACATCTTGGCAGGATCCCAAGGTGGTGCCCAAGGCTTTCCAAAGGAATTTCTGTAAAAGAAAAGAGAAGTAACAAAAAAGGTTAAAAGTTAAAGGTTGGAAAGCACCATTCTGATGAAAACTAGAAAGCATTAAAACAATCATCGAAGGAAAGAAACTGAGGTGACTTAATGGCTGCTTAGTGACCACTTACCTCAAGTATTACCTCTTCTTGAAAAAGTTTCCTTTCCCCCAGACATCCGCTACCTGAGCTACCCTTCTACCTGCCGTTAACACCTACCACTTCCTACTACAATATTTACTCTCTTGTTTGTTTCTAGTCTCAGGATTTTTTAGTCATAGTGTCTTATTGGTCATTTCTAGTATACAGTCTCTGGCAGCTAGTACCAGACACTATAAGAATGTTGGCCTCATCATACTAGCCTTATCTGGGTTACTTCTGTAGTGTCAGGAGGGAGAAAAGGCAAGCAAGACAGATATGGCTTCCTGTTCTTTCATCAGATATCTTGTGAGATTTAGAACTCTGGCCAGGGCCCTGGAGCAGTCCAAGATGGACTAGAATGTTTGAACCCCACGGGATATAGCTGGATGTAACTATGCATGTAGTTATGCCAATGTGTGCACAGAGACCACCATCTATACATTCTTGTGAAGGGGAGATACGTGCTTGCCATTCCGTAAATTCACAAGAGTACGTACTTGCTATATAACCAGAAAAACTAGTTCCTAAAGCCTTGATTTATCTTCTAAGATTCAAATCTGTTTAACTATTTAAAACCAGAGTCTCTTTATTTAAAATGTCTATCTTGTCATAAATAGGAGAGGAAAGTGACAAGCTGGAGATCCATTTTAAAGGCTCAGCAGGGCTCTAGAGAAGTAGCTGTTGAGTGATCATTATTGATTAGAAAGAATCTATCACATAAGGGAAAGGAAAGTCTAGTAGAAATTGATGGTGGTAAGTACATTCATGAGAAATGTGGTGAGAGCAGCCAGTAGAGCCAAGTAATACCAAGAGCTGCTGTTGCTGGAGTGAGAATCTAGCAAGGTAGCCCCTCTTCACTCTTGCTTGTCTCGGCAAAAAGTCCCCAGGGTAATGGAATCACAGTAACAAAAACTGTGTATGATACAGAAGACACTATTCATTAGAGGCCAAATTGCTAGAGTTTATTCAACTGCCATCTTGGAGGAAGTACAGGAAGAATCAGGAAAAGTCCTATGTTACCAAAAAGAAAAAAAATTGATGTCATAAAGGAAAAAAATATGACTTATATGCAAAGTGTAAGCCTCAGTGCCTGCCAATATCACTGCCCTGTTTCTTCTGTGCTGAATGGATCAGATTCAGCATGTGGTGCATGCCTACTTTGGAATTTGGCAGAAGTTCCAAAGCCAGGAACTCCGAAATGGAAAAAGAAAGAGTAGCTTACAAAACAGCCAGTTTTTCTAATCCACTTCAGTCCCAGCCCCCTCACTATAGGACTTTCCAGTTCCTTCCATTGAGAAGATTCTCCATTCCTCACATTTAGGTTGGCTGAATTGTTTTGGCTATTTGCACCTGTTCTGAGCCTAGAACTCAAGAGACTATGTATACTTCATAGCTGCCAACATGAAGCAAATCTGGGGTATCCTCTTGCAGTATGAGAGATCAAAGGACCAAAATCCAAAACTCTGGTTAAGCTCATTCCAGACCAGCCCATCCCTGTCTACCCCAGTGAAACAATTTGAGAAGCCTGTCAGTCCAAGCACAACCCCAACTCTCACACTGAGGTAGATTGTTTTTTTGTAGTCAGTCTCACAAGTCTCACAGTGGAAAGTAAAACACAGGCTGATATTAAACCAGGACTATGGCAAGGGACTGCTCTTTGCTTTCTAGAATCCTTTATATATATATATAATAACAGAATCGCTGAATATTAATCAAGCCTGTATGGAATTTGAAGGCATGTACTTCTAGTTTTCCTTGCAGACAGGAGGAGCCTGATGAGCAACTTTTGATAAATGTCAAATGAAGAGATAGTAACATTCTTCTAATGATTTCTTCCTCTTTTTTTCTTTAATATTTATTTCCTTATGCATAAGAACTGGGTACAGGCCAGAGGTGTGTGGGGGTGAGAGGCTTCACCAGAGACAGAATGGGGAGCAGAACAGGCAGATCTACTGAAATACACTGCAGAGAGACGCAGTAGCAAGATAAGAGAGGTCTGCTGTGCCATGTGGGTTGGTTCAGCTCCATGGATGGGGATTGAACTTGTGCTGCAGTGGCTGCTGATAGCATCATAGTGCTGAGACTTAACCCCTTGTGCCACGAGGGAGGCCCTGATCCCTCTCTCTTTTTGATTACAGTGAAAAAGCTGAAACTTGAACAGTGATTTTAGATGACAAAGTAAATTGAAGATCTCTTAGCTGAAAAACTCACCTTCTCAACAGAGGTATCGCTATAACTGCCCATTTGCTGTGTGAAATCCCGACTCAGTTGAATGGTCCAACCTACGTCACTGATCTTCTGTAAAGATTCTTTGAGCAACTGTGCAGGAAGTGAAAGTCAGAGATAAATATAACTGTTCAATTGGCTTTCTTGGCACTTTTTGTTGCTTTATGTTTTAAAAGTTTAAAAATTATTAAATGAGATTACACTTCTCTTAATGAAAAAGTGGTTAACTTGGTACTTTTCCTCTTATTTAAAAAGCAATATTCTCTCTTTTAAAATAATACAATAGTTTATTTTTACATAATTTTTTGCCTTTTTCCATCTCAGTTGTAATCCCTGTGGGCTTCCCACCCATGTGCCATCACCATAGTCCAGTGCACTCCCCCTGCCCCCATTTTTTATCCCATTCCTCACTCCACCCCCACAAAATGTCTCTGGTATACAGTTGTTCATTATCATTATTATTTTCTCCCCTGGTCCTTTAGTCTCCTGCAATGAGTGAAACCATCTGGTATTTTTCCTTTTCTTTCTGGCTTATTTCACTAAGCATGATCCCTTCCAGCTCCATCCATGTTGCTGCAAAAGGCATGTGTTTATCTTTTTTGATAAAAGCAATATTTTCTTGTGTTCTGTATTCCATCAAGATAAGATACACAGGACATGAAAATATCTCATGGAAGTGCTGTCCCTTTTCCAAAGCTGCTGAAATATTTACAATAGAAACTAATCCAATGTGAAACAAGTTGAAATGAAAATTTTTCAAGTTCTAGATAGATTTGGGAAATTTTCATTTGTCAATGCTAGCTTGCTTTATTATATGCCAAAAAAAAAGGGGGGGATTTATTTGGAATAAAAAGATCTAAATACCCTGAAAAGCCAATTAGAGGTACAGGTACAGCCTGTTAATATCAATTCTTATAACTAAATATTCCTGGGCTCACCAAGTGCCTTGAGCAAGGGCCATATAGATCATTTGAGCCTATGCTCTTCTCACTATACAATACATAAAAAGGTGTTTTTATCTTTTTGGAGGACAAAATCCATTGCAATTTCTATATCTATTTTTTTCCTCCATTTTATGCTAGAAAAGAATGTTTAGTCAACTCCAATACATTTGTATGCATGTTCCTAGTAGAGACTGATTCAATGTGTCATTTAAAGTGATAAACTTAAAGTTTCGGAGGTTTACGGAAAGAGAATACATGCAGACAGCTTTGAAAAAATGTATACCCGGGCCCTCCCTGGTGGTGCAGTGGGCTAAGGCACAGCAGCACTGAGAGGCTGAAGCCACTTCTGCATGAGTTCGATCCCTGCCCCGAAGGTGACCCACATGGCATAGCAGACCTCTCCTGACCCGCCCGCTGCTCCCCTCAGCAGTATACTTCATCAGTTGTCCTGTTCTGCTCCCCACTCTGTCTCTGGTGAATCCTCTCACCACCCCTGCACCTCTGGCCTGTACCCCAGTTTTGTATATATAAATAAATAAATCTTAAAAAAAAAGTATACCTTTGCATATATTCAAGATTGGAAAAGACTGTTCTCTTCGCTTCCCTTCATAGAAAAATAGCTTTATTCCTAGTAAGAAGCCATTTTAAAATGGTAGCATAGGAAAATAGAGATGAGAGGGGGGTTTGGAGATAAAAGCATAATTGCAAGAGAGGTAGATTCTACTGTACTAACATACATCAGAAGAGGCGTGAACCTGTAGCTCTACATCATATACAGTATTGAAAACCAGAACTACCTAGAAAGTAAATAAATGAAAATATAAGGAGTAGAAAGAGTGAAAAATATTAGAAAGTGAAATCTTTGAAACTCTTAACCAAATAGAAGACTAAAAATATTGTTCAAATTGTGATTTAAAGAGCTTAGTAATTAAGTGATCCCAGTCTTTCTCTCAAGAAAAGGAAATGCTGTATATATACTATTCTTGAGAATCCAGTTCTTTTAGTGGCTGTGGGAAACATTAGCTGATTTCATCAGCCAGCATCAACCATGAGTGTGTAGCAGCCACTCTTACCTGAAGCAGCATAGCTTCCCACAGCACGGCACTAGTATTCTCTCCTAGAAATAGAAATTGATGCGATAACTGCAACAACATGAAGATGAGGTTTCTCCCTTGCCAAGTCCCCAATAGATGCTGAAATGCAATTTCAAGTTTTCTCCTTACACAAGATTTATTTCAGAAGGAATTTACTGTGGAAATCAACCTTAAAATATATAGACAGGGCCCTCCCTGGTGGCGCAGCGGGTTAAAGCACAGCACTGACAATCTAAAGCCGCTTCTGCATGAGTTCGATTCCTGCCTGCCCCGGAGGTGACCACATAGCGTGGCAGACCTCTCCTGACCCGCCCGCTGCTCCCCTCAGCAGTGTACTTCGTCAATCTGCCTGTTCTGTTCCCCGCTCTGTCGTTGGTGAAGCCTCTCGTCGCCCCTAAGCCTCTTGTCTGGACCCCAGTTCTGTATACACAAATAAATAAATCTTAAAAAAATAAAAAATGTAGACAGAGGGTCTTCAATCCATGATGAAAGCTTGACTCTTGGCTATTTTCAATAGTAAATATTGAAATGACCATATTTTAATATCCTAATATAAACAAGGAATACACAGCAAAAAGAGTGTGTTTTTAGAACACACCAAGAGTTTTCTAAATACAAGGAAAAGACCAAAGCAAAGGTGTTTAAGTCTCTACTAAGGTGTTACCCTATAAGATCCCTTCATAGCATAAGTGTTTGGCAGAGGAACAGAATACAGGAGGCAAGAAAGAAATACTTTTCACATCAAGTAAATGGCTTTTGACTAAAATAAGCAATAATGACTTAATACACAGAACTGGAGCTTCATTCTTTGTTTCCTTGCCTTCTTGGATAATGACTTAATCCCACTACCTCGTACCTTCCAGAGGCTGCAGAAGCTCAGGTATTCGTGTTTTCCATAGGTCCACCAACTGTGGGTGTATTAGCTCAGGCAATATTTTCAAAAGTCCTATTGCACCAACCCCACATAATTTGCCTACACTGGCAAGCATAGATATTACCTGAAGGATGGAAGAAAACATGATAATCAACTTCACAGGTATTTATGGCTTAGAGTATCTATGTAAAATTTTTTTAGCATTTATTTGGAACTGAATCATCTCTATAGGTGCAAGCTTATCCCTTGTTGGTTTTCCTGACCCACTCACCAGAAGTCTGGCCAGTAACTGTTGTGGTGTAGGAAGTTTCACTAGAAAGAGAAAGTAGTTTTCGTTATTGCTGTGGTGGTTAGAAATATTCAGATGGGGGCTGGGCATAACATCAAAATGCAGTAGGCTTTCTGGAAAGGAGTCTCTCATAAGAGGAATATTTTGCTATGTTTTTCAATGTACAAACCAAATCCAGTAGAGATGACAAGTTCCGTTGACTTTTTCTCATTGTTCCTCTTTCTCTCCTCTGCCATAATCAGAATTCTGATGATATTAAAAAGGTGGTCCAGAGTTCCTGTATATTCTGCAGGTACCACAAAAGTCAGGACTCTTGGCCACAACACCTGTGGAGAACATGGGGCAAGATGCTCTTTCTTTTCTATCTTTAATATTTCTCCCTGAGCTCACTGTGTTTCCCTCTGATCTAGAACTTTTTCTCATTTGTTATTATTTTGGTCTTCAGACCAAAGCAAAATGAAACCAAATCTCTGCAGTGCACTTTTTTCTCAAAGATGCACACTGTAGTGACGATGGGTTAGTGCTTCTCCATGAGCTATTGCTTGAATTTAGGGCAGCGAAGTTCTTCACTGTGAGGAACTATCCTAGGCATTGCAAGATAGTTTTCATTATTATTCCTGTTATCCCCTATCAAGTGCTAAGCTATCAATGTAATAACCCAAGTGTCCCAAACTCCATGACCAGAGTGGGGTTGTACTAAGTGAGAATTATAGAGAGAGGACAGGGACAGGCTGCTGTTTGCTCTTCAGGTGCTGCTCTTGCTCTGGAAATCTGTAACATCTATTTTCTTTATTCATTGTGTTTTATGTCCCTTGAGCCATCCCTGCCTTAAGGAAATCCTAGATGCTAATTTTGTCTCTCCCGTTTTTAATTTTATCTCTCCCGTTTTTCTGCTCACCTAAGTTTAATCCATATGCCCAGCCTTTTCTCATAGTGTGATTGCTCATGCTCTGCTCTGTGTTCATTCCTATTCTGATGAGTCGCATCTGATCTCACAAATAGGGTCCTTGCTCCTAGCCTACCCCTCTGACTAATTTCCTACAGTTATCATCTCCAATGTAACCCTGGCATAAAAATTCCATTGGCTCATCAACCACAAGGTAAAATCTGGTGTTCCAAGCCCATTAGAGTCTGGCCCTGATGACTCTCTCATCATTTACTTTTGTATCAGACATTCTTAAGCTTCAGAATGCATCAATGAAGTGGAACCTATTTGAATGGCCATAGGTCCCATGTCAGATATACTGGACATGTATATCTGGCACAGAGTTTTAAAACCTGCAATTTAAATAGATTCCAGATAGCCCAAGAACCCATACCTTAAAATACCAACCTGGATGAAATCTCTGATCCAACTTACATTATCTATTGGTTGTCTCCTCCTGGCCACTAAAGACTGTTTTGCTTAAGGAAGACACAACTATCCTTACCTTCAGGTTCAGATCACATCAGGTCTCAAGTGGCTTTGAATATCTTTCCAGAGGAATAGGGAGCATTTGGTTGTCACCATGCACTTAACACAGTAAAGGCACCACACACTTAGCAACATGTCTAGGTACTACATGTGTAGGTATGTTAGGGGGAAATGGAGAGATGACAAAGGTGCTTACAGTCTGTCATGTGCTGTCCACATACAAGTATTTTCCCCCTGTAATTAAATAGACACCTGTTTTTGAGGACCTACTATGTTTTAGACACAGAGTATTGCTACATACTTTCTTGAGTTAGAGCATGAGAAAGCCAATGGGACATGGAGTACTAGCTTATTTCTTCACCTCTAAATGGACAGGGTTTTAAAAAGTGATATGGTAATTGTAAACTGTGACAAAAGACTCCTCACCTGAGGCATTCCAATCACAAGTGGGTCCAGTGTTTTTAAGACCTCGAGGCTTGTTTCTTGAATGGATATTTCTCCCTTTTCATCCTCAAGGGAGTTAGATTTCAGTTTCTCCTTGAGGAAAGGATAAAATAGGTGATCTGTTAATAACCTCTCCTGTCATTCTCCTCTGAACTTCCTTGGATATGTTCTTAGACTCTGGCTTGGAGGACGTACTTGCTCCACTGAAGGATCTTGTGGAATCTAGGAGTCTTGGCCTCCTGCATCCCATCCCTATTTAAAGTGCCTCTTGATAAATGGGCAAGAAAACACACCCTTGCCTAAAGCAGAAAAACAAATATTGACCGAATCCTTGCCATTTGCTCTTGCATAAATAAATTTTCAATGACACTGCTTTCCAGGGGAGTAGACTATTACCGTGATTGCAGAGAACTTGCTCAGATAACTAAGCTCTCACATACATGGTTTTCAGTCTGTTCATCCAACCCTAGGAAATATTGGCGCCTCTTTTCTTCTTTAAAAGAAATTCACTTTCTCTGCCTCTCTCCAAATCACACCAAGTATTTGAGGCCAGTCTGCTCCTTGGGGTAGACTGAGATAACCTACCTTGTATCTATTAAAAGTTAGAAGTTAAAGCATCTGAGGATACTAGAGGCTAAAAAATATCACCAATAAAAGTTCTGAATGCGTTCCTGAACTGAGAGGCAGTTTTTGCTTTTTTCTTTTTTTTTTTGTAAACCCAACTGAGTCAACTGTACTTGTTACAATGTGACACCCTCTTTTTACCAGATTCTTCTTGGACATTGCAAACTGGGAGAAGACATAGTCAACCAGCGGCCATCCTTCTCGGGCTTCAATGTAACACTTTTCACACATGGTTTGGATGAGGAGGAGGATGGAATTCCTCACCTAGAGTAAAAAAAATGCATTTGCAACGATTTATAAGTTGGATGGAATGCAAAATTAAGTTCTGCTGTTCTTTTTAAACTTTATGGTTCACTGAATGGGACACTTTTCAAAAAGGAATATAACTTGAATGATGTCAAAAATAGGACAGTAATTTATAGATTTTTGGTTTGATGGTCACCAAAAGGGCTCTCTTTAAGCAAAATCATTCTCACTAGATCCCTAGACATGTCCTCTGTTACTATGTATTAGGAAACATTGGTGAAGTTGGGCTAAAACACTAACTTGTTTAAAAATCCTCAATAAAAGATAGCACATTGAATTACAGAGCTATTATCTCTTAGGTACAATTATAAAATCCAAACATATTTGAAAATTGGAGTTTTGTTTCTTAAATTTAGTGTTAACTCATTTGGTGGAAGAAACTAATTTGAACTGTTTTACTCATTATGTGTACAAGAATTTATTTTCCTGAAGAAATATAAATGGTTTTGATTATGGATTACTGCCATACTAATACCTTTGTAAAACTGGAAAAGTTGTGCATTATAAAACAGATCTGACTCCAGGAGTTGGAATAATGGATTATGAGTTTATATTATATATATTTGTAATCATTAGGTTCAATTTGTTTATTGGTTTGCTTCCCTGAAGGATAGAAAGTTCAGTTCAATCCCTCATTAAATAGCCCTTTTAATGGAGGGTGGGAAAAAGAGGATAATTTCCAATAGGGAAGTGGGATTATGTGTTAGTAATTAGCAGAAACTCAACAAGTGGTCTCTATAAGTGACTTTGTATCTTTGTCTAGGGAGTTGACCTTCCTTAAAATGCCTGTTTTCTTTTATTCTACCCTACTTCTTCAGTTGCTTTGGCCAGTTATCGAGCCACTAAGTTGTTATTTATTGCAGTTTTTGTTATCTTAAACATGGTCACTGGGGATCAGAGTCTCTCGGAGAATTTTATCTTCTTCATTGGCTTCTGCACAGGGCTTTGAGCCAAACAAAATGTTTTTTGTTTTAAATGGAAATTTTATTTTAAAAATTTTATCATGTGTATTGAGGTAATATGGGTCTATGTCATTTCTAAGTTTTATGGATAAGGGCTCACACCTCTACAAATACATGTTATCACACCACACCCACCAGCAAAACACCAATAATCGTCCAGCATAGCTCTTGCTCACTCCTTTGCTCCCACCACCCCACCTGCCCCTTCTGGTAGCCTTAGTTTTGCAGTTGGATTTCACGGGTTTGTTCTTGTTTATTTCTTCACTTTGCTTTTTATATGTTATATATGAGTAAAGGAGTCTGTTATTTGCCTTTATTCTTCTGACTTATTTCACTTAGCATAATCCTCTCCAATTAACTCATGTTGTTGTAAATAGCAAGATTTTATCTTTTTTAAATAGCTGATTAGTATTTCATTGAGCATATGTTAATATAACACATCTTATCTATCCATTCATCTATCATTGGACACTAGGATTATTTTCATAGCTTAGCTATTATAAACAATGCTAAAATGAACATAGAGTGCATATATGCCCTCAAATTAATGCTTTTGTTGTCTTCTGGTAGATATTCAGGATAGAGATCACTGGATCATGTGTCAGATCTATTTTAATATTTTTAGAAGTCTCCATTCTGTTGCTAGAGTCTGGACTAGGCTACATTCCCACAGACAGTGTAAGAGGATAGTTTTTCTCCACACCCTCAACCAACATTTATCATTCCTACTTTTTTTTGGGTTTGTTTTATTATGGGTAATTTTTACAGGTGTGAGCTGGTATCTCATTATGGTTTTGATTAGTATTTCCCTGATAACTGATGATGAGCACTTAATGTGGTTTTCATACAAAAAAAAAAAAAAAACAGCAATTGACAATTTAAAAAATTTGTTCCTGCAATGTGTTCCTCATTTTTCCTAATGTGGAATATTTTTCTCACATAATCAGGAAATATTGAACAATCTATTATGTATAAGACTTACTCTGAGTGCTCCCTAGTTGAAAAAATAAGATATTAATGCTAAGAATAAGATTCGGAGGTTATTACTCTTTGGAGGAAGATCTATTATCTTTATAATTAGCAATTAATTTTTAAACTATTTGCAGAACACAGACAGTGACACTCCTTGCAGAACTATTTTTATTTTTCTACTGAGAGATCCTTGACCTGAGCATACTTTAGAACTTCACCTTGATACAGTTTATCTTTTGGAAAAAATGGAATGTTCAGAAGCATGGAAGTGATCAATGAAGGTTTTAGAAAACAATCTCATAAGCAGATCCTTAAAAAGTTGAGCCCCACTGTTTTTTGACCCCATTCCCCACTCCACCCCCACAAAATGTCTCTGGTATATAGCTGTTCATCATTATGATTATTTTCTCGACTGTTCTGAAACAGTGGGGGAAGGGAAATGCACTGACTATGGTGATGGCACATGTGTGATTTGGTGATGGGAAACCCAAGGGGATTGCAACTAGATGGAAAAATGCACAAAAATATGTAAAAATAAACTATAGTAAAATAAAATAAAAATAAAGTTGAACCCCTTTTTATTAACTCCTAAAATTACAATGGTCCAGAACAAGATCCTCATTAATTCTCTTACTTTGATACTGACGTCACTCATGATGACTTTGACTATCCTTTCGATTGAAGTGATGTGATCTCTCAACCTGGGCTCTGAAAGACAGAGGGAGAAAGTGAAAATCCTGATTCACTAGAAAAACACAATACATTCAAGGATCCTAAGAAACTCATTAGTTATTGTCTATGGTTGTTGACTCTTGCCCTTGACATTTCATGTTTTCAATTCCCTTCTACTCTTTTCTTTTCCAGTTCTTTATAGATCTTGATTTCTTTTCTTGCACATTGTTATATTTGGCATCATCTTGTTTAAATGTTAGATTCCAAAGTATTCAATCTATCAAGACTAATGTTTCCATTGTAACACAATTTAATATTTCTTGTCTGTTGTTTCTTCATTCCAGTGTTAACTAAATTTTTAAAAAGTATTATAATATGGTACAAAAAGTAATCCTTATACTTGATTCACTCCAAGATATTGTCAATTCACTTTTCTTCATTCCAGTGTTAACTAAATTTTTAAAAAGTATTATAATATGGTACAAAAAGTAATCCTTATACTTGATTCACTCCAAGATATTGTCAATTCACCATGCACTATTATTTTTATTGCACCAAAAAGAGTGGCCAGTTACAATTAAACATGCTTTAAATTGTAAGAAGCATTCAATACATGAGAAATATTTGTGTATTGGAATGAGTGAGATAGGATTATTCATTAAATACTACTGTTTTCTAAGTATACCAATCTCTGGACTATGTGAATTCTTGCTTATTGCATCACTCAGCCAAGTTATTATATCTTTTAATGTCTAAATTCAGGTAGAATACTTGTTCATCTCAGTTGGATGCATTAATAAATATCATGAAAGAAAAGGCACAACTGAAAATGGCTCTTTAAAAGAACTAGATTGTAGATCGAGAAGGAAGAGCTTCACTTAAATATAATGTTCCATGAACATCTCAAGGATATTGAGGATGATTAGGGAATGCATGGGCTTTTTCTGTTTTCTTCTTGACATAAATAAACCACCTCTGGCTTCATCTCTATTGCTTACCGTCAGCATTGACAGCTGATCTTAATAAGGACAAAATTCCCATTCGGATGACTTCATTATTGCTTCTTATTTGTTCATCAAAAAATTCCATCAGGTCTGCGGGATTGGAGTGGGCTGCAGATTTAAGAAATACTGGAGTCATAAGAAGTCATTTTCACCTCAGGTAAATACTTGTGAATGAGGAAAGGGGAAATTCCATGAGGAATTTTGTCTGTGTTTTTTTAGAATCACAAAATGAATGAGGAAGTTTAGTCATTAAGAGAGCTTTCTATGCCTAGACCCACCTCTGTTTCTATGAACACGACCTTATTTTGAAATTAGGTTCTTTGCAGATGGAAACATATTAAGGTCATTAGGGTGAGTCCTAATTCAACATGACTGGTGTCTTTATGAGTAAAGGAAAGGAGACACAGAGAGAGCAACAGGTGAACACAGAGGCAGAAGCTGGTGATGTTTCCCCTGTTGTGGAGCTAGGGAGCTTCAGAGGCAGGGCAGCTAGCAGGAAATAGAGAGGAAAGCCCTGGCTAGAATGGAACAGATTGGACTAGGAATTATCAAATATAAAATGAGGTCATTAATTAGGCAAAGGCATAGAGAAGTCTGGTAGGTGAGAACTAGAACATATTAGAAAGGTATGCAGAAGAAGTAGTATGAAAAAGGTATGTAGTAGAAGTGGCATTTTGGGGGAGGTTGCAAAGGGTGAAAGATATAGAATTGTCCATGTCCCCTAGTTCTGTATTCTGACTTGGGGCCTCAGTGCCTCCTCTACCACCTATGCCAGGTAGTCTAACCAGGTGATGGGAGAGATTGTGATATCAAAACTAGAAGATTAGGGATAGTATAAAGGAGAGAGAGAAAGACAAGGAATAGATACTAAGTGATAACTGGAAGAAAAGTGGGTGAATTTGGGTTTGGTGCTGTTTTAACAAATCTAATATAACAAGAAAAGAGTACGTTCTGTTGTTGGGATTACCAACAGAGACTGGCTTGCCTGGAAGGAACACATGCTTATATGGATAGTGAATGCCCAACAAAGAAACTGAAATATACAATGAGGAAAGGAGAGTCTTTTTAATACGTGACATTGGTAAAACTGGATTATTTGCACACAAAGAATGAAATTGGATCCCTATATTAAACCATGCACAAATCAACTCAAATTAAAGAACTAGACGTAGGACTTGAAACATAAAACTCCTAGAAGAAAACATAGGGAGTGAGTTCCCTTGACATTGGTCCTAGCTATGATATTTTGTATTTGACACCAAAAACAAAAGTAGCAAAAACAAAAACAAACAAACAAACAAACAAACAAAAAAGAAAACCAAATGGGACATCAATCTGGAACATTTCTACCTAGCAAAGGAAACCATCAACAAAATGAAGTGGTGTTTTATGGGATGTGAGAAAATATTTTTAAATCCTATATCAGATAAGGGTTACTATCCCAGATCTGCCTGGGACATTTATGGTATTCAAATGGAAAGTCTTCTCTTTCTGGAATGAAATCCCCTTTATTTCCAGGCAAACCAGGATGACTAGTCACTACTTACTCCTCTAAAGAGCAAGTAGAATAGGGACCGGAACAGAAAACTATAAGTTGAATTTCACATTTTGTGAAATTAATGTGACAGATGCACTCACACCCTTCACCAGTGTCATCATCATTATCACTTGGAGGCATTTTGATTAAAACCCCTTTGGATGCTGGGACCTACCAAGAATGAGGAAGCAACTTGAAGCTTCAATTTCATTTTCTTTCACTGGAGGCTCTGAAACTCTGCAGACCTGAATGAGGAGGAGGAATCAGGCAGTCCATATTAAAAATAGAAAAATGAGTGAAAAGGGAACAATCAGACTTGACAGCTTGGTCTCCTTACCTGGTGGAGTAAATGCGAAAAGATGCCTTTTTTCAAGATCTTTGGAAAGTCAACATCATAGAGAACCGCTGCGGTCAATATTTGTTTTAGACTCTAGAATGGAATATCTCAAAGGTTAGCTGGTGGGTATCATTGATGCAGCAACACAGGCTGCAGAAGGCAAATAATTATGTTTTATGAACATAAACCCATAATCTTCCTGCAGTGATGGGTTTCCCTTAGTGATTCTGACCCCTCTATTCTATTCAGTGCTTAGCAGTTTGAAATGGAATTCTTAATTGCTTTCTGGAGTTTCTGTCATCCAGCTATGCCACCCTCTTCTCTATCCTATATTTCCTGAGGGATATTTAAGTTCAGCTGCCCAAATAGATATTTGTTTCTTGGGGTTGCTGAGGACTTACTATCCTCTAGGATGATTGCAGTTTTGCGCTGTAGTTAGTTCTTTGAGGGTGTGGCTCTTACCTGAGTGATGTGGAAATCAATCTCTTTTTCTTTATACTGGTTCAGGAGCCAGGGCACCTGGCCCAGAGCATAGTCACATAGGTCTTCTCGATGAAGCAGCAGGCTCACTGTGGGGCCATGGGTCTTAATGATGGCCAGAGTCTGCAGAGACAGTAAATACCATTTTAAGTAAATCATTATGCTTGTATTCTCAGAATACCAAAGGCTTTAGATGTACCCCCAAAACTTTCCTCACTGCTTTTAACTAAGAAAGGTCTCTTTTGAAATTCAAAAATTTAGCTCAGTGCATGATAGAAAACATTCCCATTCAAAAGAAAAGTAAATAACATCAATGCATGAAGGGACCATATTTGTATTTGTCTTTATAATTATATCTACACCTACCTCTATGTCTATATTGATATTCATATTGATATTTGCTCTTCTCCTGCCATTTTTAACATTAGTGAATTTAAAATTTTCCTCACATTAAAGTGTATTAAAAAATGCTTCATAACCTTGATTCCATTTTTATTCCCATCCGATTCTGTTTTTCTTTCCTTCAGAGCAAAGCTGTTTGCAAGAGTGGTTCACAGAGCAAAGTTTTCTGAAGAAGTGCTATCTCCATATCCCACCTCCCCTTCAACCATCAATTCTATAATCTGTTTTCCACTGACATGAAAAATGAACAACTTTCAGGGTATAAAATATAAATGGGATTTAGGAAAAAATAGTACCACAGTACTCATAATTTGTGACAGACTTAGATTTATTTTATTTAGATTTCTTCTTTCTATTTACATGACTTATTCTTTTTACTATACATTTGAATTTATTAAAAATTAACACCGTTCTTTAGTATATGTAGTTCTTTATTTTGCTTTTTCTGTCTAAAAGTGTATCATGAATTTTTTTTCAGCTAAATTTTGATATACAGCAAACCACCTCAAAACTTAATGACCAGTAATAACAAACTTTTATTTCACTCAGGATTGTCAGCTGAATGGTACTACCGCATTTCTCTGCAGTATACACTTTTCAAGACTTTTCTTGCTTGAACATTATAATAATGGTTGCTGTAGATCTCACTTTCCTTCTTGAAATTTCCTCCTTTCTCAGTTTCTCAGGTCTCATCCTACACAGTTCTCCTGCTTTTTCATCAGCTCACTCCCCATTTTCCACCATGAGTTCCTGAACCTTTGCTGTTCCCTACATTATGGATCCTGCCCCGATTCCAAAATCTATTTTTGGCACTTTTCCACTCCACGTAATCTTGCACGACGGTATCCAAGACCACTTACTCAGTGGGCACTTATATAATGATGGTGTCCAATCCATGTATCCACTTTTTGCTTTTCTTCCCATCTTAAACATCTCCAGCCTACTCATGTCTCCACTGAGATGTCTCATTGGCATTCAAATAAAAATGTCCAAATTTACACCCATTTTTTTCACTACCCCAAAAGTAGTGTTTGTCCAGTTTTTCTTTTCATGATTAATGGTCCCAAAATCACTCAAGAGAGAAATCGAGGAATGATCTCAGGTGCTTCTATTTCCTTCATTATACACACCCAAATCATGCCAAGTGTTGCAGATTCTCTTCTCCAGCACCTGAATCCTCTTATTGGCATTACTGATATGACATTAAAAATCCCCCTTAGCAGTTATGAATTAGAACATTCCTATAGCTTCCTGAGAGTTTTGCTTTAATCTTTTCATATACCGTATTCATCCTTGACATTTATGTTAGAATGATTTTCTGGCACTGGGGTCCTTGCTTAAAAATCCTTCAAAGTTTTCTCATTTCTTTTGTTTAAAAATATTATTTTACTTAATGATTAACATTCATAGGGAAGGGAATCATAATTCCTAATTTCTATTATTTCACTTAATGTTTATTACTTTTTATTGAGGTAACATTGGTTTGCAGCACTGTGTATGATTCAGAGGTACAGGATTACAACCTTCAGATGTATGTTACCACTTTACATCTACCACTAAGGCCCCATATCCTTCACCACAGTCCACTGTGGTTTCTCATTTCTTTTTTCCCCCTACAGATTCTTTCTTTCTTTCATAAATATAATTTTTATAAATAGAATATAAATATTATATTTTATAATTTATTTACATCTTTCTTCATTTTGTACATTTATTCTTCTCAATTGTAATGCCCATGGACTTCCCACAACCACTTCACCCATGTGCTATCACTATAGCACCATGTACTCTTCCCACCCCATTTTTTATCCTGTTCCCCTCTTCTCCCCCATAGAATGTCTCTGGTTTACAGTTGTGTGAGTTGATGTTTGTTTTTGCTTTATTACAATTACTAATTATTTTTCTGATTTCTTACACTCCTACAAGTGAAACTACTCAGGATTTTTCTTACTCTTTCTGGCTTTACTAAGGATGTTCCTTTCCAGCTCCATCCATGTTGCAACCAATGGCATGAGTTTATCTTTTTGATTGCCGAGTAGTAGTCCATTGTGTATATGGTGTATATGTACCATGTCATACTGATTCAGTCCAGTTCCCTGTGTAGCTTTTCAAGATTTTTCATTATGGGCTAAAAACACCATTCAGATTTCATTTCTTCTTGCTTTGATTTCCCTTTCCTTCTCTTCCTTCCCTTCCCCACACAGCCTCACTCAAGTGTGCATGTTGTTCCACCTCCAGCCTGTGCTTCAATATGTTTTATTCCTCTCTGGGAAATGCCTTCCCTGTAGTACATGACTTCATGGACTGCAAGCTCAGTTTGAGTCACAGTGTGTGCAGCACTCATCCCAGAGTCAAGTGCTGCTCTCTGGATGCACCCTGGTAACTCCATGTAGCTCTTCCTATGGGAAGCTAGGAAAGTGTTTATCAATTTTGTCCTGAAGTTCTCCTTCCTAGGTGTTTTGAAGAAAAGAATTCAGGAGAGCATTAGAAGTTGCATGTTTGCTAAGGATTTGACTATTCCAGCAATAGTAAAAATAAATGCTTTAAAAGCTTGAAAGAAAGAATCAGAACTAACTCAGTGTTCCATTTTTATAAATGGAAATAAAAAGATCTAAATAGGATATGATTTAGCCTACTTAAAAATTGTGGCAATTATGCACGATAAGGATGGGATTATATATATATGAATGTACTCTATAATCTTCTCTGTAATGCATTATATTTTGAAGCAGCCAAACACATTCTTTAGATGTTCTTTTATTTCACTGTGATATTCACAGGTACCGCTGCTTTGCCTAATCATTGACTCACCCAAAGATGGGTTATGACATGAAAGACTGAAGTAACTAACCTCCTATGCATTTACCACATCATCTTATTTTTTTGTTCTCTCCAATCATGGATTGGAAAGTCAGTTCCATGGGGATTTTGTTGTGTTTAAGTCCTGCTGTATCCCTGGTATTTGATATGATGTCTGGCATATTATGAGGACACAATGAAAATTAGTTGAAAGAATGACTAATGATTTGAAATAGGTAAAACAAAAGATTTGATAAAAATCAATCCAGTTTTCATGTCAAAAATAAAAGAAAAAGGTCAACCAACAAGGAAGGAGAGTTGGATTGAGTCATGCTGAACCCCCTACTCACTTGTGTGGGTGAGGCCGTGGGGGCCCATCTCTCCATTATATACCGGAACAGCATAAAGATTTTGTCAGACAGTCGGTTGGCATCCAGTTTGGGGTAAGGGAAGTCTCTCCAGTGGTTGACATACTTGTAAATGGCCTTGCTGAACTTTTCAAGGGCTGCATTTTAAAAACAACCACAGATAAAGAAACATATAATGATGGTGAGCACCAGGAAATAAATTGAGAGGAGAGGACTGATGATTAGCAATACAGAATAATTCTTTATAAAATATTATACCTATAAGGAAGTGAACATGTGTTCACTCGTTACAGGAAGAAGTACATTAAAATCAAAATGAGACACTACTACATCCAGAATAATTAAAATTTAAGACAGTTAATGTTGCATTTTGACAAGATAGGTTCAGCTTCTGTTTTTATGTTAGTCAGGGTACAAGTTGATACAAACACTTTGGCACCATAAACCAAATTTGATTAGACATTTTCTATGATCCAGAAATTCCACTCCTCAATACACAACAGTTATATCTGTATGTATCCTTGTACATGGATGTTTATAATAGCTTTTTTTTCCTTTTGTAATAGTGTCAAGTAGAAAAAAGTCCAAATATTTGCCAACATATCCAATGGAAAAATCAAATGTAGCATCGATATGAAATAGTGTACAGAAGTGAAAACAGACTATAGCTAAATAAAACAATCCATAGGCATCTCATGAAATTAATAAATGGGGAAAATATTTTATGGCATGAGAAGTCAGATGATTGGGGGAAAAGATAAAAGAGGACCTCTTGGGTATTAGAATATTCCACTTCTTACCCCGAGTGATGATCAAATAGATAAGTTCACTTTCATACAACTCATTGACCAGTACACTTCTGATTTGTTCATTTTTCTGTGTGTCCGTTTTACCTCTACACAACATAATTAAAAAAACATCTCTAGCTTACAAATATATCACTCGGGCCACTAATTCAGATATATTTTCATCAAATACAGGGAATGATATTTTTCCTTCACCTCTTCTGTGTCAATAGATGACAAAGAAAATTCCCGGTTCACACTCTGAAGTATACCTCACATGCAAAGAATGCTCTGGAAAATATCCAAAATACCTTAGTTGTATCAGGAGCTGGCCATTTACTGGCTTATTCACATTCCCTCCAAACTCTCCCTGATACTCATCTGCTTCGCCTTGTCATAATCCTTTGTGCATATGTGGGGGTGGGGGGGGTGCAGGAGGTGTCTATGTATGTTTCCTGCAGTGTGCAGTGGTCTATAAACAACAGAAGAAAAGGGATAATGTGTTGCCTTTTGAGTTACTGAAAGTGGTGAGCACAATGTTTATTTGCTGAGTGAGTCAGTGATGACAGAGGGAAGGTGGTTAAGTTTTAGACCTTTTCTATAGTGGTAGTAAAAAGTTGCCATGGGAGGAAAGGACAGTTGGAAATCTTGATAAAGACAGAGGCGTCCCTTATTCATTGTCATGATTTCTGATTTTTTCCCCTCTTACTGGCTTGCTTATTAATATTGGTGTCTAAGAAACATAGATACCACGTTTATTTGCAGGACCAACATTATCTGTGATGGTAAGTAGAGAAAGCAAAAAGTATTGAAAATTGTGCTAGCTGGGCATAATTGCTCAAGTGCTTGAGTCACGTTGCCATAGTTCAGATTTTGGCTCTGTTACATACTAGTTTGTGACCATAGACAAGCTGATTAAGTTTTGAGGCCTCAACTGTCCATCTGTAAAATGGAGGGAAAATATTAACTGTCTAATTTGGTGGCTGTGAAGGTTAAGTAAAACACTCATCTTAAAATGCCCAAGGCAGTGTCCAGTCACATAATAAATTCTCAATGTTTATCAAATGCAAATATTACCTTCCTTGAGGACAGCACTGGAAGAAACATTCCTAACAGCATGGACTTGTCAATATTACAAGCATTGAGATGACAGTGTTTGGATTTTAGGGTAAGCAGGATCGTGGACATTGCATCACTTGGCATTTTTAGAGGTGAAACCCAGAGTGACATAAATGACAGCGTGACCTGCAGGCTTGGTGGCAGGTCAGAGACAAGAGTGCAAGTCTCTAGACTCACCCAAGAAACCTTTCACTGTGTGGCAAATGGTTTTTCCTAGGCCTTGCAGTGCACACTTTTCCCCACAGACCCTTAATGGATGCAAACACATTCCCAGTTTAGGGATAAACAAACTATCCAGTTTGGGATAAACAAACTATCCAGTTTGTTTATTTTTCTTGTTTTTTTTTTTTTTTTTTTTTAATAAAGATTCATTTACTTATACATACAGAACAGTGCAGGCCAGAGGTGCAGGAACAGTGAGAGGATTCACCAGACACAGAATGGGAAGCAGAACAGGCAGATCAACAAAGTACACTGCTGAGGGGAGCAGCGGGTGAATCAGGAGAGGTCTGCTGCAACATGTGGGTCACCTCCAAGGTTGGGTATCTAACTTGCACTGAAGCCACTAAGGGTAGCTTGCAGTGCTGTGTTTTAACCTGTTGTGCCACCAGGGAGAGCCCTATTTTTTCTTGATTTTGTGTCTGCTTACATTTACGGTACATTGTTAACTTATTATTATACAATTTATATTGCATTATAAAGAGATTCATTACAAAGAGTGGAGAAACCCTCACAGCATTGTAGAGAAACCTTGATCCAGTAATGAAGGGGGTTAGTGGAAGTAGGGGCCACACAGGGCCATGGGAAAAGTACCGCTGGTGCTCACTGACAGCAGGATCTGAAGGCCATCTCTACATCTAACTGTCTGTGTCACTACCTCCCTGGTGAACCTACTTTCTGTGACACTCAGATTCTCATCTGGCAAACAAGTTAACAGTGCAGAATTTCTGTGAGGACTAGGAGAGAAAATGCCCTGCAGAGGGTGTTCCACATGCTAGGCATTCAACAAATGGCAGCTATTGGTATTAGAGAGGATAAGACTAGCATCAAAGAAAAAACCAGACATTTGCCGAATTTACATTCTGGATCCTACCGAGACAGAAGGAACTAGCAGGATACCCACCGAGACAGAAGGCTCCCTTCATCCTCTCCTCCTCTGCCAGCCTGAGCATGGTCTGCATGGTGAGCAGTGTCATCATCATGAATGGGATGCTCTGGGACACTGAAGTGAGACACGAGAGGCAACAGAGGTTATCTTCTCACCCCTGGGTCTTCTCTTCAAGTCAACAGCAAGCATTTCAAGGCTGTGGGGGAGGGAAAAGTGGCCCAGTACGAGATGCTCCTTGCTCCCCCTTCTCCATCGCATCTCCAGGATGTAGTGAGAGAATTGAAGCGTGAATGGCTTAAAGCAAGGTCTTAGCTACATGATCACCTGCACCTGCCACTTAGTCACAATCCTTTCTTTGGGCAATTATTTCATTAATGCTTGTTGCTCCCACCAGAACATGCTCCCCAGAGCCTGGCATGTTAATAGGTACACCAAAAAAAATCTGTTAAAGTGGTGTAGAAACAAATTGTAAGAAAACTTTACTTCATGTATTTGTGGAGGGGGTTGCAGAATATGACTTGTAGAAAATGTGTTTCTAGAAATAAAAACCAGGGAAAGGGACTGTGAAACTGAGAGAGGTCAGGCAACTTCTGAGCAGCCTGGACAATGACTGGTCGGTAGACCCAACTATGCTCATGAACAACTTCCCAATATTCTCTACCAGTAGACTTTATTACAGCAGAAAGTAGAGATGGTCTCATTTCTGCATTCACTGCCATCTGCTAGACAATTGTTTCCCAGGGGAAAATGTTGAGAGTATTCTTTCTATACCATAGCTGGTAGCCAGTTCAGCCAGAGAAAGCACAACAAATTCATTTGGTAGCTCTAGGATTCTGAAGTTACTTTGTACTTCATACATCACAGAGTTGAAATCATGTGCAGCAAGAGACACCAAAACCTCACCAGCTAGCATTCTTATTTCTCGGATCATCTGAGGAAGAAAAAGAAAATAATGACAACTGGAGAAGAGCAGAATGAGTCTGTTGAGAGGAGATGGTTTGCATGAGATTTTTAAGTTCCCTTAGCTTTGGGATAGAGGGAGAAAGGAAACAAGAAGTAGGTCTCAGTGGCTGGGACAACGTGGTGATGTTAATCACTCTAAACAAGTTGCAAATTTGGGGTTAATACGTGCTTTCTTTCTACTTGACTAGGCCCTGGGACATGGGGTTGATGTTTTATGTTTAAGTGAATGAGTGACTATGGTTGAAAGACTAAAAGGGAGAGTGATAGAAAAATGGGGCTGAGTCTAGAGTTTTAATTTTTTTAGTATTGTCCCAATCTAATTATCTTTGATAGTGGAGATATTTGGGAGAATTTGTAATTTTGGTAAAGGTGAACTGATAAATTTGACTAACTCTCCTGCTGAGAAAATTCAATAAAGATCTAGATAAGATACAAAGAAACATACTCATAGAAACACTAAAGAGCTCACAGTATAGGTGCAATGAATTGCTAAATTGAGGTATGCAAATACTGGGAATTCAGAGAGCCAAGTCCTATATTTGAGGCTGCTTTGCAGCATTTAGGGACAACAATCAGAAATCAGAGCCAAACAACTTTGGTGAAACGCTGGGGTTTCCTTGTCTCATCTCTGGACAAAGATACCAAGGTGCTGTATTCTGATGTAAGGTCAAAAATATACTCCAAGGACTATGGTCTAATTTTGATCACAGAAGTAGCTGCCCAAATCTCAAACCATGAACTTAATCTTAGATTGTCAGTGCCCTTGACTGGAACAGGTAAAAAATTTTTGGAAAGAAAATACAGTATCCTGGTACCCAAACTATTCTTTTAAAAAATTTTCAGATACAATGGCTAGCATACAAAAATAAGTAGGGACATATGAAGTCAAAAGTACTGGTTTCTAGTTATTTATTATCAACAGATAGCTGTGTTACTTTGAAGAAAAAAAAAATCTCCAATACCAGCATCCTCATGTAAAAGTGGACTGAATTACATTGCCACTAAAGTATTTCTTAACTTTGACTCAGTTTCTTTATCTGTGAAGGCATAAATAATGAGTCCCATAGTGGCATCTGAATTATCATAAAAAACAAATAACAATGATTTATGGTCCTGGCAGTGGCATAGAAAAAGCTCATGGCTCCCTAAATGTACAGGGGCAGCGGGAGCTCTTAGGGATCTGTTGCTCCTTCCTTACTGATTGATCATCCAGAATCAAACTTACTTACATTGTCATCTCTCATGTCCTTAGAAGCATAATAAATCAACCGTTGGACAATCGCATCATCCAAGATATCAGTATTCTGAATAATGGAAGTGAGGTGACTATAAATGTCTTCCTGCGAACACAGAAGAATAGACACAGAAACTTGAAGGAGCAGAGGAAGTCCCAATGGAAAACACCATCAAGAAGCACGATCTGGCCCTCCCTGTTGGCGCAGCAGGTTAAAGCACAGCACTGAGAATCTAAAGCCACTTCCTCATGACTTCGATTCCCGCCTGCCCCGGAGGTGACCACATGGCGAGGCAGACCTCTCCTGACCCGCCCGCTGGTCCCCTCAGCAGTGTACTTCATCAGTAGGCCTGTTCTGCTCCCCACTCCGTCTCTGGTGAAGCCTCTCACTGACCCTGAGCCTCTGGCCTGCACCCCAAGTTCTGTATGCACAAATAAATAAATCTTTTTTTTAAAAAAAGAAGCACTATCTTTCTACTACACAATGAACCCTCTGAACAAAAGGCTTATATGTAAAACAAAATTCATTCTAAAAACTAATTTCACTTGTGGGCTACCTGAAACACTGCACTCTCTAGAAAATCAGCATTGTAGGATGATTGTAAGATGCTGCCCTCATTGTGGCTCTTTCCACCAGGGAGTCACCAGGTATTGCTAACATACTGTAAGAACACAAAGAGGCTGCTAAGCCTATGAGACCGGATCTTCTGTCAGACTCCAAAATAATACCCATGGTCTTTTGGTGGTGGCCTCCTCATGAAGGGGAATTTTTAGATCCTTGTTTCATCCATGTCTTTGTGAAGAGAAAGTTGTGAATCCTTTTGGGTAGAGCTGTAGCTTAGGGGATCATGAAGCTCAGCCAGATGCTAGGTGTGAGGCTCTCCTAAATCAGCCAGACAGCTATATGGCTTTGGAAGAAGAGAGAAGTTTGGAATTGTCCAATGGCCTCAGGCCTGTTAGCTGTGTTTAAGGCATGAAAGAACTCCTTCTGCATAAGGAATTCTAACAGGCAGTCAAGGTAGAAAATCGCTGGATTAAGAGATAACAGGATGTGTGCTGCCCTTCATGGGGAGGCCAAACCAAATGACCACAGGCATTATTCTGGAGTCTTAAGGAAGAGTTTATGTACTCCTGCTGTTGTTAGGCAAGTCATGTTACTTCTCTATGCCCCACTTTTCTGGGTTATCAAATGGAAAGAGTGATACCTACCTCATTAAGATGTGAGGCATGAACATAACATGATGTGGGTTGTTTGGAGAGTATCTCGCTTTATAATAGTAAGTGTTCAGTCAGCATAGCTGTCATTACTTAACAAGAGGTTATTAAAGTTAGAAAAGCCTTCAAATCACAGAGGAAAAGTCTCTACGTGTGAAACAGCATACAGACATGTGTAGGGGAGAGCTTTTTGTTTGTGCGCACCCCACAACTTACACACATGATTGTTTAGTCTGAAGTCCTCCTCCCAGCCTCCTCTCCCCGTGCTTTCTGCATCTGTCTCAATAAGTTTATGGAGACGGGTATTTGATTTGGTGTGTTAGTTTTCTGCTATCTTCTAGAACTGTATACTCTGATTCCTCAAAAACTAAATATTATTGCTTAAACATTATAATGACTTAATGAGTTCCATTAGAATTGCAATTTCTGAAAAATTGAATGTCATGTGAGAAGCTAAAGAGAAGTTAAAGAAGGACATCTATGAAATATTGTAACAACTGGTCTAGAAAAAGTGAATGGGAATGAGATTTTTCTCTATTTTTTCCTACCTTGCTAATATTATCTTCCTTGTTCAGCATGTTGAGTGTGAGGTTAATATCTCCAAAAGTCTCTAAAATGAGAATTTTCAAAAGGGAAGAATTAATTATGTGCTAAATCGTCCTTCTTTAACTTACTAGCAATAGTCACAGGAAGGTTTTTAGCACCTTCTTCTCTGTCGCCCTCTCTTCCTCCTTTGCTGCCTTGTTCCTGTTTCCTCTTTCCCCTCTCACTTTTCCCCTCTCCTCCTCTAATCTAATCCTTTGAGGGCAGGCACAGTGTCTTACTCATATTTCATACATTTGACATACTGAAAATAGCAGGTGCCCAGTTATTTTTCAAAACCTGAATTAACATGTATGGGGGCAATTAAAAAGTAATAAATTCCTATTTTTTCCCACCAGACATCTAGGCATCACCCTATAAACCTCCTCCAGCAAGCCTCAGCATTCAGGCTTTATGAGCTGAGGTCCCTCACTCCTAGCTTGAGTGTTCACAGGCAAGAGTGGAGGCAATGGCCTCTCTTCTCACTCTCATCTTCCTTTTCCCTCTCTCTCTTCCCATCCTTCCTCTGGCCCTGTCAGGTGCTTCTTCCAATCCCAGGCTCATGAAGTCTGGCTCTTTTATGATTATGACCTAAATATTACACTTAGGGATTTCTAGGAACATTTATATTTGAATAAAACTCTCTTAAAAATTGAAAAATAAATGGAGTCAATGGGATCAAGCAATTTTAGGACAGATGAAGAGTTACTTGATGAGATACAATTGGAGGTGATGTGTTTCCACAGTCTTCCAAACAAACAACACAGCCCTCTCCCACTCCCACCCCACCCCTTTTTTTTTTTTTTTTTTAAAGCAGAAAAGCAAACCTATTTCCAAAAGCCTCTCTCAATATTCAAAATTAAAAAAAAAAAAAAACAACATTTGGTAGTAGTCACTTTCTACTCAGATATACTAAGTCTTTTTATATGAGGTAAGAAAACCATCTCTCAGATTCCTGGCCCATCAAGACTAGTTACACTGTTTGATTTTCTATTTTGGAATAAAGGGAGAGTAATGTGAAATAAACTTAATTTAATATACCTTTTCATCAAACCTGCAGGCATGCAGTGACACATACCACCCTCACCCTTCATTGCATATGGCCACATAGATACAAGACGCCCAGTTCCTCCCAATCCCCAAAGCTTACCTGCAGATTCCTCTATATTCTGAGTCATGTTTGGCTGTTTTGGGCTCTCTAAGAGCTAGCACATAGGTCTCAGGAACAGTAAAGCAAAGAAGTAGGTTGGCAAAATTTCTTACACAGGGTTCACATAAGGCTCTCTAAATTAAAGTCCCTACTCCACTTGATTGGCACAGCGATCTGGGAGCTTCCTGCGATGGGCTGCTGTTGAGGAGGATGATGCTGCACTCTACCACTATGACATTTTCTCGCTTCTTAGCTCCTGCTGACCAACAAAATGGCTGCATCTCACCAAATATTATCCCTTTGGTGGAGACCAGAGTATCTGAGAAGGAAGAAATTAGAGACTTGGACTCAAACCATTTTTGTAGACCAAAGAATTGTTGTCCCTCAACTTGGGCCCATGGATCACAAAATTGGGAATGGTTTTAAGTAGTCACTTTACTGGCCTGGTGTTGGTAAAGCCTTTATGGTGATCTTGTTGACTGTTCTACTAGGTGAAAGTCACACAAACTGGGCATGCTCAGTGGACTGGAACACCCACCAAGGGCAGTTGAATGGAATGTCCAACTGACAGCAGCAAAGCAAAGCCTTCTCTGTCATCCTTCCCACTCCCTTCCTCCCTGCACCCAACCATCATTGATGTGCTCTGGACCTCTCTCTCACTCCCAGCTCCATCTATTTCTTTGACTCCATTCTCCTTGTTTTCAACTCTTTTTTTTTTTTTTTCTTAATCTAGACCTCTTGGCTATAATGTTTTCAAGTTTACTTGTATGGACCTGAATTTTTTGCCAATTCCCCAGCCCTAAATCTATCTGAATATAATTTCTACTGTGTTTTGATGTGTTTGATGCTACAGAGAATAGGAAGGGGATCCCATCAGTTTATAGGCCTGGAGATTAGTGGAGCCAATAAAAAAATTCAAATAATAAAACTTCTCATTATCAGTAGCGCTCAAATATGAGTAGGTATTTTATTTTTTTCTTGAAAGGAAGCAAATTACAAAACCATATTCTAGATCAAAGGCTGAAAACAAGACATGAGGACACAAGGAATCAGAACTTAGGATATAGTCAAAAAGGTTTTAAGAAGGAAGTTAATTTCAATACAAAGCTTACATTACAAAGAGGAAAATCCCTTCTAGTGGCAGTATAACCTTGTGAAAATTATATTGCATCCCTAGAGTTTATGTTTCTTACATTTCCTAAAAATAGATTAAATCATATACCTATTGTCATTTCCCATTTTCTTTTTAATAAATCCTAGCTTAATAAATGAATTGAAATTTAAGAAAAAAAAAGAGGAAAATCCCAAATAGACCATTCAATATTATACCTAAAGGAACTTGAAAAAGAAGGAAAAAACTAAAATTTAATAGAAGATAGGAAATATTTAAAACTAGAGTGGAAATGAAAGAGAAATCAAAATGATGGTGCAAAAGTTTAATGAAACTAAGAGCTGGCTCTCTGAGAAGTTAAAATTCATAAATTTAACTAAGCTACTAAGAGGATAAAAAACTTGAATTATGGTGAGGGAAAATTACTACAGCAATGCTAGAAATGCAAAGGCTCATACTACAAACAACTAGATGCTAACATATTCAACAATCTTGAAGAAATGGATAAAGTTTAAAAACAATAGTTTACCAAAACTGAGCCAAGAAGAATAAGAAAATCTGTATAGACTGATCACAATTATGGAAAATGAAACAGCAAGAGAAATATACATAGATGTAAAATCCAATACCTGATGACTTTATAAGGAACTGTATCAAACTTTAAGAAAAAGTGTTATGCCCACTGAATTCAATTTATTCAAAAAAAATAATCAAGTAGAGGAACTACTTCCTAATATATTCTATGATTCATACATTACCCTAATGCTAAAATTCAGCAAAAGCACTGCAAAGAAGAAAACTATAAAGTAGTATCTCGCTGAATATTGATATAAAAATTCTTAACAAAACACATTCAATAATACATTACAAGGATCACACACCATGACCAAGGATGCAATGATGGTTTAACAAAGACAAAGCAATTATGTAAAACAGTACAGAAACAAAAGAAAGGATAAAAAAACAAATGATAATATCAGTAAATTCAAATAAAGCTTTTCATAAGATAAAACAGCCATTTTTGAAAAATTCTTAGCAAGATGGGAATAGGAGGAACCTCTATCAGCTCCATAAAGGTCATATATCACAAACCTAGAGCTAATATTATGTATATTGCTGAAAAACTGATAGTTTCTCCTTTAAGATCAGGAACAAGGCAAGGCTAATAGGTAGGCAAGGCTACCTATTATCATCACTTTTGTTTATTTTAGTATTAACGGTTTTAACTAGAGCAATCAGATAACAAGAAATAAGAGGAATATAAATTAGAAAAGAAGTGAAAGATTCATTACTTGCAGACGATATGACGCTATATATAGAAAACCTTATAGGCTCCAGTAAAAACACTCGAGTGATAACAAAACATATTAAATTGGCAGTCTACAAAATTAACAAACTTCTGTTGCATTTTTACATGAAAATAATGAGAAATAAATAAATAAAAGAAAGCAATTTCACTATTAAAACAAACAGAACAAGTTGTAAAGAGATGTTCTGTGTTCATAGAGGTTCTGTGTCCCGTTCTGTGTCCCTTGCCTGTGTTCATAGAGAATTAATGGGGTCCAAATGAATAGTTTACCAAAAGCAAAATTATAGATTTTTAAAAATTTCTTCTTTGATTTGCTCATTAACCAATAATAAATTAATTAATTAAATTAAAATCTATTGATAAAAATTTTAATTGTAGTTTTATTAATTTGATTGCTATTTAAAGAATGTTATCAATCCTATTTTCTAATTAATAGTCAATGAACATATTTACTTTTGGTAAAATAAAGCAAATGTTAAATACAATTTTAAAGTTAAAATGAAGCAAAATAATAACACTGCCCACTGTGACTTAGCTCATGGGTTATATCAGAACAATCATTTTGTGCCATTTAAAAAATATCGGTATACTAGAAAAAGTAATATTAATCACACAAATTTAATTAATACTTGCCTTACAAGGACATACATATAAGGAGTAATGCTTTTAAAAGAATGTGCTTTTATATACATATACTTTATTTGCATCAAAAATTGGCACAGTATCTCATTCACAAGTTATAGTATCTGAACAGATTTGTGGTTCTGAAGTTGGCACTTAAATATTTCCCTTGCCTGACAAGAAGTGTCACTTTTAACTTTTATTAAATGAGTACCATATGCACATCTAAATTTAGACAGCATTTTAAAAACAGAATTGAATTAGCAATTCTCAGAGGGCCATTTTGTGTCATTTTGTGCCGAACGCATTGTCAAAGGACAGCTTTCTCCACTGTGGTGAGATCATCAGGTTTGTCTGAATATCCTCCTAAGGCCTGGGTGACATCTCTGCCCTTGGCTGGAGGAATAGTCTGTTTGGATGAAACTGCCTTACAATTGGAGGCCATGTCCAATAGCTGTACAGGGTACCGTGGGCCCTACTCCAGACTCTGGGAACCTTCTTCTCACTCTCCTTCCTGTTCTCAGCAAGTAGCAAGTTGACCTCTGACCACAGACAGGAACTTTACTATTGTTAGGCAGTCAGGCTATTCTAACCACTCAAGCTTTTAGAAAGCCCAGCTTTGAGTCAATGTCTTTAGTTTTAGAAAGTCCACATTTGGACATATTTCTGTCCTTTATAGTAGGGAAGTTCTATTCTTTGCAGATGATAGTGCTTCTATATTTGAACATATTTTCAGAATCTTTCTGCACTGCACAGATTTTCTGTTCTCTAAAAGATCACTTCAGAAATATTTCAATAATGTTAT